GTAAGCTACATAGAGACTCTGGAAAACAAAGTGTGATGGTCTATAAAAATGGAGGGAGAAAATATATCTTACTGGGAATACAATGATCAATTCTGCGTATTTCTCTACAAAGTGATGTAACAGGAACAATTAGACACAGGTAAGGCAGAAGAGAAAATAACTAAAAGAGGAGCTTGCACGAGAGGGGTACAAACCACTGAAAAGTATAGAAAAGTCATGACCAAGCCTTTTTAGAAATATGTAAGAGCAAAAGACTAATTTGAAAGACAGCAAATGGAAGAGTAAATATTTTATTGAACACATAATTGACCTGTATAACTCACAGCACCAAGACCAATGTAAAAAGATTTAAGCATTTCAAATGGTTTTTAAAAATAAGCACTTTTGGAGACTACAATGACATTCAAAATTACATCAGAACAGGTAAAGACATTTTGTATATTTATATAAACTTATAACAGTAGAAGTCCTCCAAGTCATAAGAGAGTAAATGACTTTTAAGGAAAAAATCCCCATATGTGAACAGAACTGAAACCCAATTGTCTACATCTTGTGCGGTTTTGCTCTTTGTATGATCAATCAAATATGGTCTGTCTCAAGACACTGAACTAGATGGAGCATTGATCTTACTTGATTTGGCAAATCCTGCTGGTCTTGCACGCGTCTTTTTCTGTGAGCTTTTTTGAAGGAATGGTACCTCTAAGCTATGACTAGACAATAGAATGGATTACATGTGAGTAATATCCTTTTATCTCTGGTGTCACTTTGCTTCTGAGTTTGGGCAGGTAATCTGAGGGTTTGGGTTTTCAAAGGTCAGTGCTTTTAAACAGGTGATTGTTATCTGATACTTGTATTATACATATGAAAATACAGCATTCAGTAAATCTTGTCTGTCTTCGTAATCAGTAATACAGTTATGAGATATGCTACGTGGGCAATTTAATTCTAGTCACCCATAGCAAGTCTCCTTGATAGAATAAAGAAATATCTTCATAAGTAGTCCCCTTTTTGTGACCATCCTTTTATCACAACAAAAAGAATATCTTAGGATTGCAATTGTAATGCTTCTGAACATGGTAGTTTCCACTGAAAAAGGCAAATCGGCATACATTTTATTACCTATTATTTATGTAGAACTAGCATGTGCTAGGCGCTTTACGGAGGGATTACGGAAGGGAATTTCCCTGAAGAGGTTACAGTACAAAGGAGCTACAAACAGGTGCAGGAGCAGAGATGGGAGGCAATAGAGTGCAAGTGTCTGAAAGCAGACATGGAGTATCTCCTGCCTTGGATCTGTAATTTCATCTCTTTTAATGTATGGCTGTGTTGGGTTTTTTTAATGACTTTTGTACAGTGATGACTAAGATTATAGGCATTGTTAGGAAAAGTCACATAAAAGTAATTTCATACTGGGAAAAAATACGGACCTTTTTCCTCCCCACTTGCCATAGCTTCATAAATTGTGACTGTTTTAGCTCAAGCTTTTCAATGTAATCATTCCCAAGTAGTGACTCTGTATCCTGAGTAGCAAGCAAACAGTGATCACTCATCTGTTGCTTTTGGAAGATGTCATCCTCTTACTGCTGCGGGTTGAGTGGAGCATATATTCTCTCCTCAGTCTGAAACTGTCAATGCTCTTTAGTGTTACAGTTCTGTAATTGTTAGCAGCTGAGGAGCAGGTACACAATCCCCTCAACTATTCCTTAAGTGATGTGACAACCTCACCAGAACGGCAGAGCAGACCTTAGAAGGTAGCATCTGCTTCAGGCTAATTCAACTAATTCTGTGAATCGGGAAAATTTCTGTAAGGGTTAACCAGACAGGCTAGTCTGAGCACCCAGTTTAATATAACCTTGTTGCAAACTTTCCTGTAGTAAAGTCTTTCTCATTCTACACTTTTCTCTGAGTTTGGGTGCATACTGTGTAGCACCTGGAAGGATAATGTCTGTCCTTCAGAAAGAATTATGAGAGAAGTATTGGAGAGGTAACAGAACCCCTCCTCACCAAGAAATAAGCTGATTGCTGCCTGGGTCAGCGCAGAGGCTGGAATTAAATCACCATCAACGTGCCCTGTGCATAATGAACCGACAAATGTGTCAGAGATTATTTTTTTTTTTTTTTTTTTTTTTTTTTGTATGCATCATGCAGATGTTTGGGTTCAACTTAATGAAAGCTTGGCTTAATTGTACTGTGCAAACATATGTTAAATTTAGGAACCTGGAGCTTGCAAGGGACTTTCTAGGTCTGCAAGCTCAATTTCTGCTTGTCATGTGTAGCCTCATGATATTGCACCATCCATAAAGTTACCAAGCTTCATCAGGCTCCATTTTAAACATAGCTGGGTTCTTTCCCCAGTACCAAAAGTGGATGGCTGCTCCAAAACTCTTCTCTGAAGCTTAAAAACCTTTTTTTAATTTCTAGACTAAATTTATTCATGCTACATCAGAGCTATTTGTTTGTGTGGCAATATTATTCTTCATCTAAAGCATTTCTTTTCCCTTGGTAGTACTTGTATGCTGATGCAGTAACAGGGAGATACTGTATCACTTTTCAGCCTCCATTCAGCTGTGCCGAGGAAGCCAACCATTTTTATCTTCCTCTCATAAAATAGTCTATTCTCCTGATGGTTTCAGTAACCTTTCTGTGCTCTTCTTCCAGTGTGAATTCATTCTTTAAGCGTGGATATACAGAATGAGGTAGATTAGTCCAGATGAGGTCTGATCTGCGTCTTACTCAAATAACACACCTCTAGTTCTGCTTTACTGAAGACACCTTGATGTGGTGGAACATTGCAGTTGCCTTTTTTGTATTTGTGTCACATGGGTCAGTTTTAGATGTCCTATGATCTACTCAAAACACACATGTTTCTTCTCTTCCAAACTTGGAGTTGATTGTCACAAAGTGCTTTCAGGAAAACTAAGCAACTGGGGCTGGTCCTCATATGGATGTGAGATAGGGAAAGATAGAAAACAGAGTAGGAGAAAATGGTTAGTTCTTGAAGTAGGGGAATGTCACGAGGGTTGTTCCTTGGAGGCCTGTGTTGGGGCTCGTGCTGTTCAACGTAATCATAAATGACCCAGAAGAGGGAGGTAACAAAGTTTACTAAAGACATTACTAAATTATTAAAGCAGTAAGGATGATGGAAGAGCTGCAGGGCAACTGGGCCATAAAATGGCACTTGAAAATGTCTGCGGATAAAATCTTAAGTCATGCACACAGCAAAATCAGTCATACGGTTCACACATACGAAGTGATGGGATCTGCACCCTTGGATTCCCAGACACCTCTGAGAGGCAAGATCCTGGGGTTCTGATAGACAGGGCCAAGAAAGTGTCGCTCAGTGGTAGTCAGAAATGCCAGTCAAGTGTCTGGCGTTATTAGGGACGGAGTAGAATGCAAGGTGAGAAACCTTCTCTGCAACTTCATAAATCTGATTCATCTGCATCTGGCGTGCTCTGTGCAGTTCCGGTTCTCTTATCTCAAAGCAGATAAAGCAAACAGAAGGTGAGCAAGGAAAAAAAGCCATTAATTGACACAATTTTCTGGGGTTCAAAAGACTGAGCTTGGGTAAATTATTCATAATGTCATTAAAATTCAAATACAACTGAAGTTTCCTGTCGGGTTAGCTAACACGGAGAAAGTACACCTCATGCGTTTCTTCTCTAAGACTTTGTACGTTGTAATGATAAGAAGTTTTGCCCATCTTTCATTGTCTGGAAGTGTCTCTATGCATCTTAAACAAAAAGAACATTTCCTTTTCTTACTCCGCTGGACAACTTAAAAGAGCAATGCTTCTACTGTTAAATTCATTAGTGTAGAGGGGAAATCTCTTGTGTTCATATAAAACCTGAAGGGGCTTGCAGAGCAGCTGGTTTCACAGGGAAGCAGGCAGGGTGTTCCCAGGAGCCCTCAGGGAATGTCTGCCTGGTCCAGTGCTGCACTGGGCAGACTGGGTGAGTGCAGAGTGAGCCCAGTTCAGAGATCAGAAGCAGCATAACCCAGTACGCACTGGGCTCTGCCTGGGCTCCTCAAGGTAGCTAGTTGCAGTAGCTCTGGAAAATGCTTCGTTGTACAGCACTAACGTAACCCGAATGAGCTGGCAGATTTGGGACTGCAGAATTACTGGGGCCTGTCTGCACTTGCTTGCTTTGATACCAGTGTAAAGACTGCCCAAACTAGATTTCAAGCAATTTCCTCTTCCTTACTGCAATGAAAACAAAATACTCATTTTTTAGTTGGCAAACAGAAGAAAGCATTCCTGGTTTATGCTGGATTTACTGTTCTCTTCTGTGCCTATGATTTACATTTAGAGCCAGGCTGTCTGGCAGAGTGTGCTTTGGCAGCATAGCTGCTGGTGCTGGGTACAAGTGTAATTGCACGCATTTGTGGAATTGAGATGGCTGGCTGTGATCAGCCTATACACCAGTGGATATATGCCTGCACTCTGAACAGATCACTATTGATGCTTCTAGTGTGTAAATGACTACGCAAAAATCCAGCCACAGTGGTTAGATCCCAGGAGTTTTGCTGTGAAAATGTTTGTTCTGCTTTTAGATACAGTGTTTTACTACAGAGTAGATGTAGGAGCATTTTTCTGAAGTATGGATTATTCCACTTGACAAGGTGGGTAAAAGAAGTTACATCACTTTGTAAAACTAAACAAAAGGGTCAGCAGGAAAACCCAGAATAAAACACAGATTTCCTGGCATAGGTTCCCACTCCTGTCTAGGCATTATTTCCTTCTCCAAAATAAGCATTTCTACAATTACATTCACAATTTTGAAATAAAAATATTTTTTATTTTTACTTGCTTATTCCTAGTACTTAGGCTTTGTTTGCCTGCTTAAAACAGACCTTTGAACAGCATTTGTCAAGAATAGCAGGATTCAGAATTAGCAATAGTGAAGCGTTATTTTTTTCTCAAACCATATAGCCAATATCAAATTGGTACGTGAGCTCTGAGCTTTAGCTCAACCTATGCCTCCTCTGCTTTGTTCCAGGTTATGGACACACAGTGCCTTTATCTGATGGAGGAAAGGCCTTCTGCATCATCTACTCAGTCATCGGGATCCCATTTACACTGCTTTTCCTGACGGCAGTGGTACAACGTATCATTGTATATGTCACCAGGCGGCCTGTACTGTATTTCCACATTCGCTGGGGCTTCTCCAAGCAGGTTGTTGCAATCATCCACGCTATAGTCCTTGGGTTCATCACTGTCTCGTGCTTCTTCTTAATCCCAGCAGCAATATTTTCTGTTCTGGAAGATGACTGGAATTTTTTGGAATCTTTCTACTTTTGTTTCATTTCCCTGAGCACCATTGGCCTCGGAGACTATGTGCCAGGAGAAGGCTACAATCAAAAATTCCGAGAGCTGTATAAAATCGGAATTACATGTAAGTGTCAAACTAACCAGCTAAATAAAAGACATTTTATGGGGGGAAAAAAAAATCAGACTTTCCCTCTCCATTCTGTGGATGGCGATTGTTTTGTGAGCTGTCAGCTAGCAAACTGGGCATTGTAGGTAGCTGTGCAAAGGGGAGACCTTTAAATAAGGTCAGTTTTCTTAGTTAAGAAAGAAAAAGCTAAAACCAGAATTCCATTGTGCTAAACCATAGCTTCTTACTCTCTTATTAATAGTAGAAAAAATGCTCACATTACTGTTATGAAAATGGTTATGAGCATCTTGGGCTAAGATTTCAGTGCATCACAGACCCAGGAAGATGATCCTTGTAACCTAAGGTCATCTCAAGGTGAGCTGACAGGTGAACAGAGACGAATCGAGGAGCAATGGGAAATGAGCAGAACAGCAAAGTTTCTGACTCCAGTTGTAACAGAAGGTAGCTGAATCTGGCACTGGTACATATCAGCTGTCAAACAGAGACAAGTAGACTGAGATGATAGCAAAGTAAGACCACAAATATTAAATTTAAATTGTTTCATTATGTTTGACACAGAAGAGAGGCACAGTGATCAGTGATTTGATCAAAGTAGAGCTAAGAAAATTATCTTTGTTTTGGCATTCTGCTTGAATGTACGCTGAGGGCAATATTCTCCAGTGACAGTGTTTTGAAGCATCCCAGTTTCTGATACGGCTTCAGTCTGTGCAGTCCTGGGTCATCAGATGCACCGGTTAAAAGATCTGAACGGCCAAAACAAACCTTTCTTGTCAGGTCCATTTCTTAGACTGGTCTGCATTTGTATGTGTTCCTGTGCATGATCCAGCAGTCTTAGTGTAGGCAAAGTGTCTATTAACTTGGTTTTGTGTTTTACCTAAAGAAAGATTGGGCCTTGAATTTTCATTCCTTGAAGCAGGGCCTTGAACTAGCCAACAGAACACTTTATTTTATTCTCCTGCCAGGCCTGTAGTCATTGCAGGAGATTTCCCCCTCTACCCATCGTGTTTATCTTACCAGCAGTAGCTTTAATTATTACCCTGCTGATCTGCAGAGTTGATTTGGGGATGCTAAATGATGAAGTGAATGGAGAAAGTCACGCCTCGTAAAAGTCAGGCCTTGTAAAAATTCTAGCTGTACTGAAAACTCAAAATCCGAAGAAAACATTATGACTCAGGTTATCCTTTTTCAAACTTTAGAACACTTAGGAAATAAATTGCAGGAAATACTAAAAGGAAAAAGTGGCTTTTAGGCAAAGTTATGACCTTAGAATATTTAATTTCAGCAGTTTTTAAGGTCATAACTTTTAAATTATTCTTTTTCCTTTCATGTGAACAATTCAAGGAACCAAACAGGATGTATAAAAAGTTTTCTCTTGCTGAACCTAAATTTTCTTCAAGAAAAGTTTTGGAGTTCTACATCAGAAAATGCTTAATGAGTGCTACAGGCTTTTCAAGAATTTTTAGGAGAACACAAGTCCTGTTCTAAATCAAGTGGTGATCAGCTAGACTGGGTTTCAGAGATAATTACAAAATTCTCAGTGCAGATTTGTAGATGCCTTTTGGCATAGCTTTGTCACATCTTCCTTGTGTTAATGCATAGCTCCCATTTGATGTCATGAGATAAAGCTTAAAAACAATTCATAAATTTTAGCTGTAGTGCTGATTTAGATCAGTACCTGGTATTGCAATATGGATTTAATGGTGCTCGTGGAAGGAAAAGGAGGGTGTTATTGCCAGTGAATAATCTGTAACTACAGGTGAAATATTTATGCCTTTAGGTAACAGAACAGTGGCCATATGCAGATTATAATAATTAATCTGTGTTGATCTTTCAGCACATTTAATGTTCAGCCTTTGGATGAGCACGTTGGACTAATAATTATACACTTAGCTTCTGCTTGATTTACTCATTGAAATGATACAATATTCAAATAGTCATGCTCCTCCTTAAATTGTAATGATCAGTAGCAGGGATCTAATGAAACATTGAGATTAAGAAGTGCTCATTTTAACACCTTCCCTCAAATTCTAGGTGCATATGTTTGGAGAGGAAAAAAAAAAAGAGCACAGTGGGCTGTTAACCATATGAAGCTCCATTTCCAAAAGTCTCAGTCTATGAGACCTTTAAAAATCAGAGTCAGTACACCACCAAAGTCATCAGTAATACCATTTAAGTAACACTTCCAAGTTTGGACAGTTTATGTATGTTAGTAAAACATTGCAAATAATCTTCAAGGTGTCATCAGATATAGCAACTTTGTCAGGTTTTTAAAATATCAGCAGTAATTTTACAGTAATTTTTCATTTTGATTTTTATTGGTTTTGTACACATTTCTAGTTGCTTTGTTTTTCCACTCATTTCAGGGTGTTGGATATCTTCTTATAATTTTAAAGGAAAATAATTCAAAAGTTTTCAGTAATATATAAGGGATTCGCCCTGCTAAACTGGTACAAACAACAAAACCATAATTAGCTGCCATATTTTTACTTCTGTTTGTAACATGTAGGAATATTAAGGGAAAAAAACCTTTTGAAGAGCACTTAATCAGGAAGGTCGTAAGTAAATGAGGGAGCGTGCATGTGGTAAATTTTAGTATTAGCCACTAGTACTTTTTTTGATTATGCGGGGTCTTCTTGATTGTAGAATGAAACAGGAAAAAAAGGATTTGGCAAAGCTCTGAAACTGGGTCATAAAAAAAATTAACATACTATTTAGAGATGACAGGGGTGGGAAAAGTTGCAGGGTTAAAACTGTTCCAGCCCCACTTAATTTGCTAATAATTAAAACACTTTTTTTTTTTGTACCCAGGTTATCTGTTGCTGGGCCTTATTGCAATGTTGGTGGTTCTCGAGACTTTCTGTGAACTCCATGAGCTCAAAAAGTTTAGGAAGTTGTTTTATGTGAAGAAGGACAAGGAAGAGGACCAAGTGCATATAATGGAACATGACCAGCTCTCCTTCTCTTCCATCTCAGACCAAGCAGCCTCTATGAAGGACGATCAGAAGGCAAACGAGCCTTTTGTGACTTCCCAGTCCCCAACTTCCAATGACAGCTCTCTAAACAATTAATACAGGGGTATCCATACCATTGTTTTGGTGCATTTATGCTACTTACCATAAGAAATAGTACGCCTCATATTTTCTTAATGAAAATACAAAAGCTGGAAGACTGTGCTACTTTACCAAGGATTCATCACTTCTGACATAGAAAAGACTTCTGGGAAAAATGTGGGAGCCACCCTGGGAATAGGGAAAAAATGTAGGATGTGGCTGGGAACATTAGGCCATTTTGCTTGAGGGATGAGGAGTTAGTTGTACCACTTTCAGAGGTGCCAGAGAGAAAGGCTTGCACAAGCAACTCCATCCAGCATCTTCAAGAGAGTAGGCCTTCACTGACATCCAACTCATTTAGTTGCACGCCCTGTCTTGCAACTGGGTGACATAGCAAATTTTGGGATGTGCATTTTTGATTGTCAGAAGTGTAGTCACAGATTTAATCCAAACACACCAAATATCTTAATTTGGAAAACATTTCCAGAGCAGTATCTATAGATCTGCTGGAGGTGGGGAGTATCTAGATCCTCCCTCTATTACCCAGTAACTTGCAGGTGCAAATAATAATTCTAGGAATGAACGAACAAGGCTCCGGTCCCTTCTTTGTCCATGCCATTTACATTCACATTTCCTACTTCCTTAAAAGGTCCCCTAATCACAAAAAAAATGTTGTCCTGAAGAGAGTGTGCCTTGAGTCTTCCACGCTGTTTGTCTTTGTATGAAATACTTTTGTAAACTCTGAGAGATAGCAAGACCAATTCAAAGTGCTGGGTGAGATGGGGTTGTAGGGAAGGGAGACGGCTGCATTTCAGTCCTCTGTCTTCTGAAATGGGCAGGAGTGGGTTTTTAGCTATGTGGAATGGAATGAAAAAGAGTCAGCGTATGCCATGATTGGCATAGTCGTGCTTATGGCATTCTCCTAGTGGATGGTTGAAATCTGTTCAGCAGCAGAAGGACTCGGCGCTTTCTTCCACAGTCCAACCCAGTGTGTGCTCTCTGCTGAGCTGATAGCTAAGCAGAGGAACAGAAATAGTGTGACCTTTGAACGTAGCCCCTTTTTCTTCTTTTGCTTTTCTAACTAGTACTCAGAACACTTTGGAGGAGAAGGGAATGTTTCAGGGCAAAACAATTTTTCAGTTTTTCATATGGCAAGAAAAAAGGAAAAATGTCACATTTGGTTCGGATGGAACCGAAATTTTTTCCCCTTGGGAAAAGTCACTAAAAAGTCAAGATCTCGCTCAAACTTCTGAAGCTGGAACCTCTTTGGCTGTAACAGGAGAGGTGTTTTAGTCCAGCTACCAGTCACTGTGCTGAATGCGGGGACCTTGGAGTGAATTTCAGCGAGCAGGAGATGAGACTTAAGTGGTTGTAGTACTCTCTCTTCTGGCCTTAAGAATCTACGATATGGGAACCCTGATAATGCTTTGCAATGAACAAAAGATCTGGAGCACAAATAGCCATATTAGGACAGCCTCCCACATAGGAATAGCGTAGAGGAGAGCCTTTTCCCTGCAGTGCAAGCATGCCAGATTGCCTGTAATTTGGCTTTTCGTGTTTAGAGCTGAATAATATTTTACTGTAAAAGAAAAAAATGCAATGTGTCTAGATTTAGCGCACGTGGGAAAAATACTTGAAAGTAAATAACCTAAAATATACTGTGTTTGAGCTTAATTATAGCTAGCATCAAACAGATTTTATATCTTTACTGGAAAAACTTACTTTATGGTTAAATCAGCTGAAAGTCTTCAATTAAAATTTATATTTATAGAAAACCAGAGCTAAAGGTTTTGGTTGTTTTGGGTTTTATAGATTAGGTGAGAGCATACTGTGTTTGCATGTTCCCAGGAAAGTGGCTATTTTTATACTGCTTAAGTTAACACAGTTCTATTTATAATGAATGTTAACCAATATATATGTACATATATACATAAATATATTTATATACTGTACATATATCATAAATCACCAGAGTTTAACAGACTTAGGAGTGGCATTTTAGATAATTTTTTTTCCCTAGGCTTCTCTTTATACAGTGAACAATTGAAAACTATGGCATTAAAATGACAATGACATAAAATTGAGTACTGTACTGCAAGAAACATTTATACTGTTTTTTCAGTGGAATTTTATTGATTGTTTTCAGTATGTTAAAATTCAAGATTTCTTTTAATTTCTCTGTAACATTAAGCTCTAAAGGATATGCACAGATGCTAAATGATACACAAAGTTAATTTTGCTGTGTGTACACAATTGCAAAATGTAGACACGTGAAATGAAAGCACAGAATTCAAAGCAGAAGCGATAAACTAAGCAGTATACTGTGATGTAGGTGAGTATTTGTTATTTTAAACTTAAATAAAAAGTCTGGCTTTTGCCTGCCTGCACTATGAAGTGGGAGTATTTTCTTTAGTGGTGTGCGTGCACGCACATACTCTGCAAAAATCCTGTCTGCGTTTGTCAAGATTGTGCATTCTTTAGTTCGCCTTCCTCAATTCAAGGAGGGGCCGTTAATGCCAGAGTGCATTACCTAACCTTGATATTAATTGTAGTTTGTATTGTGCTGATTATTCCTATAGAAAAAAAAAGCATTCTGAAGGGTGTTTGTTTTTGCTTCAGATGCTGACTGATTACAGCAAATAAAAGATAGTGGCATAACATTTATCTTGTCTTTATAACCTAACTACTCCAATATTTGCGGAAATCTGAAAAACTGTCACTGCAGGTTATCGGTATCACTGATGAAAATAACGGCCTTCATTTTCTACAGCTTTTACATCTTCATGTGAAGCTAACACACAAGATCAGAATAGTTAAAACTGGAATCCAGATTAGAAGGAGAAAGATTATTGTGCAAGAATCTTAGTATAAAGTGCATATCTTTCCCAGAGGTAAACTGAGGTGGGTGCATGTAAACCCGAATGGAGAGCATGGGTCGTAAAACAACGGTGCTGAAACAAAAGTTGCAAGAGGAAGTTAGAAATGTGAGCAAATGACTTGTACGCAGAAGAGAAGTGCCTGGGTCCTATCCTCACTCTCCTGTCTTCAATTGATCCAGGCATGTATCCCATTAATGGCTTTATTCCCATGCTATGGGTGACATATGGCTGACATTTGCCATCTTCTCTTTGTCTTTCAGTCATTAAATATAAATGTGTTTTATTATTATTTCAAGGTAGAGAGCTGGCAGGCCATTCAGTTGTGTTGGGGGAAAGAAAATGGAAGAACCCACTTGAGTTTTGATCTTGGAGCTGAGCGACAGCCGCGTTTGTCCCTTTGAGAACATGTCCTCTTCCCTGAGAGAGTTTCTTCCCAAGGTTCACCAGTCGCACCTGGTGTGGGTGAACACAAGACTTGCTGAAGGTTGAAATGAGTAATTTTCTAAGTAGGTAGCTTCAGCGACTCGGGTGGTTTGCAGCTTTAATGCCAGCACTACAAAAGTTACCTAGTTGGGTGTTTATGTCAGAGCAATTGCACAAGAGCAGCAGTTCTGGATTACCTTAAATGTTTGTCTAGCCCAGTATTTTGTCTCTGGCAAGGGCCAAGAGCAGACGCGTGAACTTGTATGAGGAGAGGGCAAGCGTGTAGAAACAGTTTGCCAGAATATTCTCCTAGCTCCCAGCAGTGTGCAGCTCTGGATCTATGATAGTGTCTGGGAGGTGTGGAAAGTCAGTGTAGGTATGATATGTAGAAGACGTGCTACACTGATGTGCGTGCTCTCTGTCTCAGTCAGTTAGAGGCTGTCCCACACAGGATCAAACGCACATTACCTATTACTTTCCCACAAAGCAGTTTCAAGTTAAGTGCTTTGCAGTAACCAGGTGGGGTAGCACTAACTGCGACTGCATGGGATGGTCTCTTGAAAAAGGGAAGAAAGGCAGGGGAAGGCCTTTTACGCACTGTTGCTCGGACATTGCTGTCCTCTGGGTGGATAGGAACATACGCAGAACCTGTTTGCTGATGCTAAATCTTGCAACTCCGTATTACTGTTTGCTCTGTAAAGAGTAATCAGAAATGTACTGAGATGAACCATAAGTTGCTAAAAACATTACTGCCCTAATGCTATTCCATCCGTTCCTTCTTCTAGATTCTGCTTTCTACTGAAACAAAAGAAAGTTACTACAGCTGGAAGCGGTGTTATTCCAGGTGTGCACCAGTACCAAAGAACAGGGTTTCTCTTCCCTGCAGAGAGTTCCGCTAGTAACCATCATTATCCTAATAGGTATCAAGAAACTCCTAGATAGCCAAAAAAATGTATATCTTCACGTTGCTTGTTTCAAACAGAAACAGTAATTTTTTAAATCACCGTGACTAGCTCTGCAAATTTACATGGTGGCTAATGCATATTAGGTACTTGATGTGTGTCATTTTTAATGCCTACGGTGTTAGTCTCACCACTTCCTAAGTTAACATTCTACTTGCTTTTTACCATGGATTTCTTGTCCCAATTATCTTCAAAGGTCATCGCGCTGCCACGGATTATGAGTGTTGTGATGCAGTTATTTTGCTGGTGATGATGCGTGTTTGTCAGCCGTTGCCTTAGCTGGCAACGAGACTGCCTCACGTGTGGCGGTTGGGGCCAAATGACAGATTTAGGTAATGAGGAGGGACAGTGTGGCTGGGAGCAGGTGCACGGGCTGACAGCCAACGTCAGGACAAAATCATCCTGGCAGGCTGCTACGTGACCACATAGTTTCTTCACCAGGCTTCGTTTTCTGTCGCTATGAGTAAGAGCAAAGTGCTTCTAGGTGAAGGAAGGAGGAAGGACGTTGCCAAAAGTCATCTGAAACAAAGTTCAATGGAATTAGCTTTTTCACAATTTGTCTATAGTCTGCAGCTCTCTTACTTCAGTTGCACCCAGTATACTACGAATCAGAAAAACGGTTTGGCGTTTCCCCAGTGTAGATGGTCCCTGTGCTCCCTGAAGCGAGTTATGCTTGTTATCACAACAAGTTTTCTTGTATTACGTTCACTAAGTGTTCAGACCCGTGAGCAGGAGTGTAAGTCAGCATCACCGCTGAAACTTTCCAGGGGCAAATGTGGCTCAGGGCACTGCCTGGCCCTGGGGCTGCCTCTCTTTTAGAGTCCAGGCTGTCTGGAAAGAGAAAAGTGAAACCTCTACCTTAAAAAGTGAGAAACCCACTCTCCTTGGAGGCTCGAAGCTCCCCAAACCCGTTTTGTGCTAATCCCAGAGGTCTTGCAGTCTTGAGCATATAGTATATGTGTGCAAGTATCCGGAGTAGCACATAGAACTGGGACTCGGTTTCTTTATGCCTAATTTTTTGAGACTGGTCAA